GTTCTTTTGGCAGCCAATGGAACCTTCAATACTCTCCTCCAACACCATAACTCAAAGGCATTAATTCTTCTATGGTCTTCCTTATTCACTGTCCAGCTTTCGCATCCATGTGAGGTTATGGTGTCAATTAATTTTTCAATTCTATTAGAGTTTGATTTAGGTGTTTTGAAGCTCTTACATAGGGCAGATAGATATTTATTATTGTTGTATCCTCTTCAATTAATCCTTAATTTATGAGATAATGTCTTTCTTTGTCTCTTATACTCGTCTTTGATTTAAAGTCTATTTTATCAGAAATATTTCTACTCCTGATGTCAGGGAAAGTTTTTCAATTGATCTTCGACTATCTTTTCTGTGTTTTTCTTTGTCTCTACCTGTTACTAGAATTCTGATCAACCTTACATTATTCCTCTTCATAATGTTCCATATGAATCTTAGACTTTCTTCAGATTTTTCATTCTTTTTTCTGATTTCATTGAAAGATTTATCTTCAAGCTCTCTAATTCTGGTTTCTTTGATTCAAATCTACTTATTTGCCCTTTCAATGTATTGTTCATATCAGAAATCTTAATATTAATATTCTGGATTTCTATTTGAAAGTTTAGTATTGTCTCTAATCCTTTATTATTTTGTTTGATTGTTCCTGTAGTACTTTCCTGATGTTTTCCTTGACCTTTCTGTCAATCATTTTGAAGTACCTAAATATCATTTTATTGTGAATTATTTTTCATATAGTTCCAATGCCTTTTTTCCTCAAAAGTGTTTTCTAGCTCTGCCTCTTATTCATTTGTTTGAGACACTCTTTCTTGATTCTTTGTGTGAAAATAAATTTCTGTTTTTGAAATATTGTGCTGTTGTTGTATTTGTATAAAGTTGAATATTGTATGTTGGTATATTCTTAGGCACTCACCAACTGCCTCTTGGTGGGTGTAATTAAGAGATGAGCTGTGCACTGTTCTCTATTCACTGTTCATACAGTTCAGTTCAGGATGGATTTAGCTGATGTTGGTTGTTGTTGTTGATCTAGTGCATAGCAGCTGGTATTGGCTCTTGCCCAATGAGTGGAGCTGTAGAGAGTATGGCTGTGACTGGGCTGTGTGGATGTAGTTGATGTCTCCTGTAGGTAAAGACGAAGAGGAAACATACACACAAGAAAGAAGGAAAACAGACAAAAAAGCAAACAGCAGCAAAAAAGAAGATAGTAAAGAAAACAAAATAAAACAAGAAACAGATAGAAAATGAATAGAAAAAAAAGAGAGAAAAGAGGGAGAGGAGAACAAAATAATAAAAGAAAAAATAAATGAGAGAAAAAAAAATAAAGAAAATGAACTAAACACAATTAGGTAGAGTAATGAGTAAAAAGGAAAAAGACCAGAAAGGAAAAAAAAAAAAAATCAAAGAAGGATAAAAGTTTTAAAAAAAGAAAAATATTAAAGAAGAAAGAAACATCAGAGGTTTGGAAAGAGAAGCCAGGGAAAAAAGAAGAAAAATGAAATGGGAGATTAAAATGATAGAAAGAGAGAAAGGTAAGAATGAAAGAATAAACAAACAAAAACAATGAAGGGGGTGCGGAAAGGCAGGTGCAAGACCCAGAGAGGAGAAAATTCTGAGGTCTCCTACCAGCCAGGGACCCCACATCATGAGGGGTTAAAGGATGAGATTGTAACACTCAATTCTAGATGAATTTCTTCTAGGGATGGATATTGTCTGTTCTGGGCACCCAATATGAAAGTAGTTCATTCAGACCTCATTGCAGCAGGGGGATCAGGGCATTTCCATCCAAGAGGATAGCCAAGGATGAGAGGTCCTGGTAGTCCAGGGCTGACCAGTGCAGGTCTGAAACAGGTCACACCTGATTCCAGGTTCCAGGGTTGATGCTGATAGCTTTCCACACACTTTGATGTAACTTTGATGGCCCAGAGAACAGTAGCACCTCTGGAAATGTATGCAGGTGGGGGCTGGCCAACCTCTGGTCACTAGGGTAATTTGGAGTACAAAATTTTCTCCTTTCCTACACCAATAAGTGGTATGCCTCTGTGCCACCTACTGTTCTCTTGCCTTAAAAGTCACTCATGAAAGTTCAAGATGGCAACATTGTCCTTGGCAGGATGGTACAAACCATGAGTCTCTTTTCTTTTGTTTTTCCTTTCCCATGCATGTGTTCAGCTGCTTCTCTTAGTGAGGGCAAGTCCAAGGAAGGCTGGCCAGGACCGGCTCTGCAAATTTGGAACAGGGTCCACCTGAACAGAGTTAATGTGGATAGCTCCCCACTTCTTTAATGGGACTCTCAACTGTTGGGCTTACTTTTGTATGGCTCCAATCACTGGGAGAGCTGGAGCTAGAATATTGATCTCTATGTGTTCCATTTAATTTTTGAAAATTGCCAAATTTCCGAGATTCATTTGTACATTCTCTTTGCACATTCCATGTTCTGATTATTAACAGATGCTTACAGTTGCTTCTTCTCATTTTTAGTTGTGCCCCCATCAGCAAATTAAGTTCCCAAAAGCTTTACTCCAGTTGCATCATTGTAGTCAGCTCTACTTTGAGGAGGCAAATATCCCCATTGTATTTGAGTGCCTTCCAGCATTATGTCTGACAATATTCTGGTGCTATTCATACTGTTTTCATCTTCTGGAACTATATCTGACAATGTTCCAATGCTATTCATCATAAGGTTCTAATTGGCTACACATTCAGAAATAGTCTGCCTCTCTTTCTTCCTAGTCTGTCTTAATCTGGAATCTCAGCTGAAACCTATCCACCATGGGTAACCCTGCTGGCATTTAGAATACCTATGGCATTGCTTCCAGCATCATAGCAACATCCAAGCCATCATAGTATGACAATCTGACAGATGATGTTTTATTTATACGAAGTGTCCAGAATAAGCAAATCTATAGAGACAGCAGCATTGGAGGAAGACTCATTAACAACCTGCGATATGCAGATGATACAACCTTGCTTGCTGAAAGTGAAGAGGACTTAAAACATTTACTGATGAAGATCAAAGAGCACAGCCTTTGGTATGATTTACATCTCAATGTAAAGAAAAAAATCCTCACCACTGGACCAGTAAACAACATTCTTATCAACGGAGAAAAGATTGAAGTTGTCAAGGACTTCATTCTTCTTGGATAACCATCAACACTCATGGAAGCAGCAGCCAAGAAATCAAACGACGTATTGAATTAGGCAAATCTGCTGCACAAGACCTTTTTAAGGTGTTGAAGAGCAAAGATGTCAGCTTGAGGACTAAGGTGTGCCTGACCCAAGCCATGGTGTTTTCAATAACCTCATATGGATGCGAAAGCTGGACAGTTAATAAGGAAGACCATAGAAGAATTGATGCTTTTGAGTTGTGGTATTGGAGGAAAATACTGAAAGTACCATGGGCTGCCAAAAGAACCAATAGATCCATGTTGTTGGAAGAAGTGCAGCCAGAGTGTTCCTTGGAGGCTAGAATGCCCAAAATTCGTCTCTCATACATTGGACATAGTGTCAGGAGGGACCAGTTGCTGGAGAAGGATATCATGTTTGGTAGGGTGAAGGGTCAGAGAAAAAGAGGAAGACCCCCCAACGAGATGGATTGGCCAAGTGGCAGCATCGATGAACTCAAGCATGGCAACAATAGTGAGGCTGGCCCAGGATCAGGCAGTGTTTTGTTCTGTTGTGCATAGGGTTGCTATGAGTTGGTACCAACTTGATGGCACCTAACAACAACAACAATATAGACACAGAGCAGGTTGGTGGTTGCATTGGCCTGGGAGTTGAAGTAGGAATTGACTGCAAATGGAGATGAAATAAATTTTGGAAGAGGGGTGTTAGAAATGTTCTAACTAGATTGTGGTAATGGCTGCACAACACTATTATGTCTGCTAAATATCATCAAACTCTACATTTAGTATTTTGGGCATGTAAATTGTTAACACAGCTGTTAAACATATTTTTAAAATGATAAATCCCCACAGAAGAACCGTCACCAAACTTTAAATGTTTACCTTCTAAAGACATAGGCCACATTTATTATGTGGCATCACACACACTGCCCTGGTACACTGCACACAAAACTTATGTGTAGCTGATTGGACAATCATGGTTGTAAGGTGTTTTAAGTGTCTGCTTATTCTTAACATATTTGACACTTTTGTGTCAAATTCACTTAACTCATTAACAACATCCTAATAATAATACTGTCAAAGAGAAGGCTAAGGGAAGAGAAAAAATTAATGCAGGTAATAAAATGGCCTTATGAACTGAGTAGTATAAAGATAGGCCAGCATTAAGGTCTTGTTGCTGTTGTGTTTTTGTTTTTAAGTGGTTTCAACTCACAGTGACTCTGTATAGGGTTTCTAAGGAGCAGCTAGTGGATTTGAACTACTGACTTTGAGGTTTGCTGTCTAGTACTTATTCTACAGTGCCACACCAGGACTCCATTTAATATTACTAATCAACCTCATTATTTACCTTTATTATATTAAAAAGTGGACTCCTGGTGTGGCACTATAGGGTTCACTGGGCTGTGTACCACAAGGTCAGCAGTTCAAATCCACCAGCTATTCCTGGGAAACCCTATACAGGTTTTCTATGAATTAGAACTGACTCGACGGCACTTAACAACAATAACACTATTAAAAAAATAATTAGTGATAGGCTCAATGACATTACAATGGCAGTTGTTATTAAGTGTTATCAAGTTGGCTCCAACCCATAGTGATCCTCTATAGGGTTTCCAAGGAGCAGCTGGTGAGCTTGAACCGCCAACCTTGCAGCTCAAATGGCTTTATAGTCTGGCGCATTAACCCACAGCACCACACCAGTAGTTCCTCTATATTTAATGAAACATATAAATATAGAAAATACTAATGTTTTATTTTTTATTTGGTCAATTATATCAATGACCATTTATATGCAACCACTTTTTTCATCCATATCCAGGTATATTATAAATGAAAGTTAGCATATGATTGCTAACCTGAACACCAGACACAAACATTTACTGGAATATTTTATTTACATTTTATATTTAAAGAGAATCAATAGAAATTGGTACATATTTACAGCATTTCAAATCAGTGTACAAGAATGCAATGGTTTCATCCATTTTACATTCAGCAAACAAAAATACATGTCTATTCTGTTTTGCCTAAATTCTGCTGGAATTTATACTGCAAACACAATTCTAAAATAAAAGATAAGCCACACAGAATACAAATAAAGTGCATTTTAAAATAGCTCTATTTAACTTTGGTGGATGAAGCTTCAAACTTTATATTAAGGCACCTGGAATTCTCCCCCCACCCTTCAATTCTTTTTCAAACACCAAGAAAATGCATTCACAAAATTTATACCTACATGGACAGAATTTTAGTTTTTCTAAAATAATTTTACCCCATTAAGATAAATTGTAAACTCAATTTTCAGAGTCAACATTATTTGGAAAATATTTTCTACAGACTAACTTCTGTAGATGAATTCCTAAAGACCAACGATCAATTTTTGTGACTTACCCCCATCATTTGCAAATAGTATCATAATTTACATACATGATGTAGTTTTGAAAATCTCACGAATTTGAGAAATAGATACAAAGCTTTTTTTTGTTTATAATCTTTTGTCAAATTGGTGTTGCCAATGAATTCAGCCCATATTCTCTGATAAACTATGCTTGACAAACACATGAAGTACATTTAGCCTATTTTTAAAAAACAAGAAATGGTTAAAATGAATATTTTGCTTTAGTCTTGTTCTATCAACTTAATCTAGCTTAAATAGACATTTCATGAAGTACTAGCCTAAGTTTGCATTGCTTTGTACATTACAATTCCAGATAAGTATAAGCACCTGGAGAAAAACCCTGACACATATAGCCCAAGCTAAAGTAGTAGTACTGTTAATTAAGATACTATCATAAAATAAAGTGATTACAGCTACTTCACATTTTAAAAGCAACACGGTTTCATAAGAAAATTGTTATTAATGAAAAACATGACTACTTTAAGAGAGTTCTGAATGTTTAAAAATGTTTTCGCTATCACTATTGAGAGGAAATTTGCCTATGAAAAACATTATAATGGAAAAAGATTGATAGATTAAATATTGTAAATCATTTAATTATAGCATAATATTATTCATATCAGCACTTTCAGTGTCATTCCTATCTTATTAAACTTATCCACTTCATTAATAGTAAACTAGGCCTGATTGGCAGTTCTGTTATTACTAAAGGTTCAAGTTTTCTATTGACACAGATTTTATGATTTAATTTCTCGAGCAGTAGTCTCTTGATTAGGAGTTTCATCTTCTTCAAAAGTTGGGTTGTCAATATGAGGGACAACATCCACTGCCATGGAACTCGCTTCATGGTTTACCAGCTGGAGATTTTCATCTTTGAAAAGAAATAACAGTTTTAGGATGATTTCTTTTAAGATAAAATGCAACCTCATTTCTATTTTGTCTATTTCCATCACACTCTGATTGGTATACTTATTTACTCTTCCTTCAGTAACTACATTATCAAGTTTATTTCTTATATAAAGTTGTTGTTGTTGTTGTTGTTAGGTGCTGTCGAGTCTGTTCTGACTCATAGCCATCTTATGCACAATAGAACGAAACACTGCCCAGTCCTGTGCCATCCTTGCAATTATTGTTAAGCTTGAGCCCATTGCTGCTGCCACTGTGCCAATACATCTCATTGGATTATTAGATTGATCATTGTATTGATTTACAATTACTCTTGCTGATTGAAGTATATGTTTACTTTTACCTAGATTGGAACTTTTGTGGGAGCATAAGTTATGTCTCTATCCTAAATATATCAGTTCTCAAATCTGGTTGCACATTTCAATCATCTGTGGGAACTTTCCTTCTGACAAACAAACCAACAAAAAAACAAATAGACAAAATCAGGAAAGTTGGGGAGAGAGACCTAAAAGGGAATATGAACAGTAACAAGTGAATCTAGTTATATTACAAATGAGATACATACATACCATCCTGAAGAGGATGTGGAAGAAAAAAACAAAACAAAAAACTAACCTAAATTATTTTGGGAAAAATATTTTATGAGTATATTTCATAAGGCTAGAGACATAATCAATACACTAGTTAGTGAATTTGATTTCCACAGGGATGTAGGTTAGCAATGTTGAAACAATTTTATATATAATCTAGGACTGAACAAGTAAATACTGTAAATATCTTGTGATTAATGAGAGCCAGGTTTCCCACTGTTGGAGAAAGAATTTGGAAATAAGGCAATCAACCCTGTGGATTGGAATCTGATATATCAGTCTGAACTCATTTTCTTATATATACATATATTGTATAGAAAGATGGAGAAAATTATGCAGATATATGTGTATATGTGTGTGAGTACATAGAGTGTTTCCTGGCTCTGTCCGTTGAAAGGGCCTATAGCGATGACACCCGAGTAGCAATGAATGTATCAAGTGCCTAGGTCTTAGTTTTGAATTCATATTCTGCAATAAAAGGAACCAGGGCAGGGGGCAGAAAGGGTTGGCAGGAAGAGTACAAAATTAACCCAGATTCTAGCCTGCTGTTATGTTGTTGAGTGCTGTTGAGTTTATTCCAATTCATAGCAACCCTGTATAGGGTTTCCAAAGAGCTTCTGGTGGGTTATAACTACAGACCTTTTTGTTAGCAGTCCAGTGCTTACCCTACAGTGCCACACCAGGACTCCAGATTCTAGCCAAAGCTTCAGTAAACTATGTATAGCCTACAAGACAATATGTGGCAGAGGTAAATGACTCTCACAGCCTGAAATGTTTCTGTCTGTTTCTTTACAGAAAAATATCACCAATCTTTTGCCTAGAATAATCTTATGGTGCCAGAAAGTGCTCAAAAAAAAAAAAAAAAAAAAAAAAAAGATGGGGGCATGTTGAAAGGACACAGAATCCTAGTTGAAGGACTTTTCAATGGCCAAATCTAGGGCAATTCTGATTATTTGCATAGTCTCAAAGTATCTCTCTACAAGGTAATTAAATAATTACAAAAGGATAAGAAACAACTTTACAAAGGAGAAACCCGGAAGTCATCACCTTACCAGGTGATCAAAGTTAAGATCATAAAATGAAGTGATTATTTTTTATGTATCAACTAAGTTTTTTAACCAGTAAAGACATGAACTTTATGTGCCTTTTGATATGGAGCTGTTGTATTCTTGCCAGAAATAGACAATAATTTTAATCATTAGGAAAGAACAGACAAATCCAAATTGAGGAACAGTGTACAAAATTACCAACCAGTACACTTCAGAAATGTCAAGGTCATGAAGTACCGAGACTGAGGAATGGTTACAGATTGGAGACTAAGGAAACATAACAATTAAATACAATGTGAGATCTTGGGCTGGAAAAAAGACATCAGTTGGCCAGCTGAAAAAAGTTGAGTAAGGTCAGTCGTTTAGTTAATAGTATAGTATCTGTGTTAATGTCCTGGTTTTATTTGATAAACATTTGAAGTTAACATTTGGAGATTCTGGGTGAAGGTCAGACAGGATTTTTTTTTTTTTGTACTATTTTTGAAACTTTTTGTCAGTCTAATTATTTAAAAATTAAAAACAAACAAATAATACCCACACTTGGGCCACATCTATCTATGCCTGATCTGTATAGGTTCTGATTTAACCAATCTAGGGTATATATAGCCCAGGCATCAGTAATTTTTAAAATTTTTCGAGGTGATTCTAATTTGAAGCCAGGGTTGAGAACTAGTGCTCTTATTTGTGGTGGTGTGCCACTGAGTTGATTCTGACTCATAGCGACCCTGTACAGGCTTTCTGAGGCTATAAATCTTTACAGGAGCAGAATGCCTCATCTTTCTTCCAAGAAGCAGTTGGTAGATTCACGCTGCTGACCTTGCAATTAGCAGCAGCTCAGCTCATAATCCACTATGCTACCAGGGCTCCTTCTTATTCATGGTGATGCTCAACAATCTGTGTTGTTAACAAACACTCCAAGTGGCTCTGATTCATGTTTCAGTTTCAAAAAGCAATGCTCAAATAAAACTTAGCACAATGTTGTGACACACAGATTTGAACTGATCAATTCTGTGTATAAAAAGTTAACACATAATCATAGATGAAATTAAATCTTTTCTAAGTAGTCATTTAAGGACCCCTGGTAGCATAGTGGATTAAGTGTTGGGCTGTTATCTGCAAGGTCAGCAGTTCGAAATTTCTGGTCCTGTAAAGATTTACAGCTTCAGAAACCCTATACAGGGTCATGAGTTGGAACCGACTTCACGGCATTCAATTAAACACTTATCTGAGTATCTACAATGTTGCAGGCTGTCCTAGATGCTGGATGTATGATATGTTATTCAATAATAAGACATTGTCCCTAAAAGTAAAATGTTTTAACACATTTCAGTATAATAAATGCAACAATAGAATTTCAATGGAAGCCTAAGGTAGGGTCATAACTGTGAGTCAAGGAAGCTATTTAAAGGAGTGAAGGTGAATCTTAAAGGAGGAATAGGAATTAGACTAAGTTTCTACAGTTTCTTAAAAGAGGAAAAGTAGAAGAAATGGACAGAGAGAAGACAGTGTCTCAAACTGGAATCAAGGTTGGAAATTAGGAGATGCATTTATGAGAAAAGAATGTTGAATCAATAAAAAGGGAGAGAGGGAGAAATCTAGGATATGCCTAATTTTTGGTTTGAGCCTGGCATGGCACTGTGGGTTAATGCACTGGAATGCAAGGTTGGTTTGAACCACAAGGTTGGCTGTTCAAGCTCATCAGCTGGTCCTTGGAAACCCTATGCAGGGTTGCGATGAGTCGGAACCTATTAGATAGCACTTAACAACAACAAGTGGGTGGTACTATCATTTATCTAGATAAAGAATACAAGAAGAGAAACATTGATAATTATTTCATCTGCTTCTCAAATTCTCTACAAAGTCTGTTCTGCTTACATCTCCCCCTAGAGCACAGAACACAAAAATGTAGGTTGGAACGTTATTTTTTTCAGATGTCTAGATTAACATCTAGCATAAATAGATTGAATGATTAGCATAAATTGTAATGAGTTTTTCCCTAGCCCTACTCATACTTCCGTCTTTTACACAAACAACTGATATTTGCTCTAGTGAAGTTGCTTGGATGCTGACCTTGTATACATTGTTAAGGCATTTAGATTTGTATGCACTTATTTACCATACAAAGTTACAAATACCGTAAAGCTTTTGAACTGTGTTCTCTACTATTTCACTGGAAAATTTGACTAGAATTTCATAAAAAAAAAAAAAAAAACAAATTAAAATGGTATCAATCTGAAAATCAATAATTCTTCTATAAGCATTGTAGTTTAGAAGAGGGTAGCAGTTAGGATGATCATTTTGTTTAAAATTCACTAAAACAGAAAGCTATTTTTTCAAGTATTTTAAATGTTATTAAAAGAGAGAGACTAGTGATAGATTTGCAATATCTCAGTTGTTGTTGTTGTGAAGTGCTGTCAAGTCGGTTCCGACCCATACGACCCTGTATAGGTTTTTTGAGGAGTAGCTGGTGAGTCTGAACCACTGACCTTGCAGTTCAAACGGCTTTGCAGTCTGGTGCATTAACCCACAGCGCCACACCAAGACTCCAAATATCTCAGTTGTTGTTGTTGTTGTTAAGTGCCGTAGAGTCGGTTTCGACCCATAGCGACCCTGAATAGGGTTTCCGAGGCTGTAAATCTTTACGGGAGCAGATCGCCTCATCTTTCTCCCGTGGAGCAGCTGGTAGTTTCGAACTGCTGACCTTCCGGTTCACAGCCCGATTCGTAACCACTACGCTACCAGAGCTCCTTATCTCAGTAGAGGAGCAGAATTTGTCTGATTATCACCTGGTCCTCTGAAGTTAACTGATGGGTTGACTGATCTGTGCACACAATTATGACATATTTATGTTAAGGGAATTTTTTTGTTGACTATTCAAATCGAAGGGATTGTCAAAATAAGGGAATGAGTTTGCACCTAATCTCACACTGCAGACTTGTGTGTTAATTCTGTTTCATATACAAATTTGGATATTCTAATGATAAACATGGAGTCCTGGTGTGGTGCTGTGTGTTAATGCACTGGACTGCAAAGTCAGTTTGAACCACAAGGTCAGTGGTTTAAGCTCGCCAGGAGCTTTCCTCAGAAACCCTATACAGGGTCACTATGGGTCGGAACTGACTCAACAGCACTTAACAACAACAAAAATTGTAAACATTAAAAAAATATCTAATCTACAATTCTGGAGTCCTGGTGTGGTGCTGTGGGTTAATGTGTTGGACTATAATGTCAGTTTGAACCACACGGTTGGCAGTTCAAGCTGACCAGCCGCTCCTCAGAAGCCCTATACAGGGTTGTTAGAGGTCGGAATTGACTTGACAGCATTTAACAACAACAACACTATGCAATTCCAATATAAAGTTTATATATAGTTATTTTTTTAAACAAAGACACTAGAACAATATGTCCTGGTTTTGGCCCTCTAACAGAAAGCAGCATTGGAAAATCATTTAAAATGCATCTGTGTGCTATTGTGGAGTTCTGGCATGGCACCATAGGATAAGCACTTAACCTCAAGGTTGGTTTGATCCACAAGGCTGGTGGTTCAAACTCACCAGCCATTCCTCAGAAACCGTATGTAATGTTGCTATGAGTCAGAACCAACTCAACAGCACTTAACAACAAGGTTGACACAGTCAGTGGCTGCAAAAGTAGGGTCAAACAAATTGTGAGGATGGTACAGGGACGGGCAAGCATTTAGTTCTGTTGTACATAGGATCACTATGATTCTGAACCAACTTGATGGCACCTCACAAGATGGCGTCAAGTGTGGCAGCGGTAGTGAGGTTGGCCCAGGATCGGACATTGTTTCGTTCTGCTGTGCATGGGGTCGCTATGAGTCGGTTCCGACTCGATGGCACCTGACGACAACAACAACAACAACAACAACAACAACAACATATTGAAGTATCTTGGATGTTCTTTATCTTCACTGGATTCTATTACCACATCTGGGTCACATAGACAATGATTCCCTATTATAGGTAGAATTATCTATAGATCCTTACAATTCTTATGATTATACTCTAGGTAATGTCTGAAGATTTGATTGCAAGACATATGAGGCCTGCTTTTTCAGGGTAGTATTCCTTATGACAAGGAGCTCTGGTAGCGTAGTGGTTATGAATCGGGCTGCGAACCTTAAGATCAGCAGTTCGAAACTACCAGCTGTCCTGCGGGAGAAAGATGAGGCTTTCTGCTCCTGTAAAGATTTACAGCCTCAGACATCCTGTACAGGGTTGCTATGACTCGGAACCGACTCAATGGCACACAACAACAACAACAATTCCTTATGACATCTTCAGAAATGGTTGTCTGAGGTACTGATAAATCTAAAGAAGACAAAGGTTTACGTCTAGAATGGTGAAACTTTCATAAAACATGTTGACAATGAATTTTTCTTCTACTTTCATGCTAGATTGAGAGCATCTCAAAATGAGGAAAGAGAAAATATTTTTAAACACGCACACACACACACACACACACACACACACACACACACACAGAGAAAAAGATATGAGTTGAAGAAAGGGAGAATACTTTCTTTGGTAGGAGTTTTCTCTTTCTAGTGGAGAGGAAAAAAAGTAACAATCCCCTAAAATTTCTCCATTGGCATAAAATTGCCAAGTTGCAATATTAATTCACATGAATTTTGAAAATAATATATTCAGTTTTAGCTTTTATGATTTGTTCATTTCATGGCAGTCACCAGGTGGCAGCACATACCATTTTAAAGCAGAGTTTTCTACTTGTATAAAAGATTGGCTCCTGAGAGGTTGTATATAAATCACGCTTTTATAAAGTGAATTCTATTTTATTATTTCAAGACTCCTTTATCATAATTTCTTATTGATTTGTAATAAACAAGGACTTCTAAAGTTTAAAGTCTCTCTTCAGTCCTATAAGTAGTTAATAAGTTAAAATACTTTAATGCACCACGGAGAAGCCTTCTGATAAATTTTTTCTTTTTTGATTTATCCTCACCCCTGATGCATTTCATTTGCTTCCTGTACATTTGGGTATGTGTTTATTAACTTAAAGTAAGGAAACCTAACCCTATATTGCATTATCTTAAGTAGAAAAAAACACTTTGAATGTATCAGTGGAAGAATGCAACACACACTGAAAAGCAGGGCTATCCTGAAGGGCATATGATGTACTTTGTGGATCACTTTGGGGGCACTTGTTGATTCTCCATATAGTGCTTACTTGCTGACTGTACATGTTCTTCCAGAGGTGGTTCATCTGCTCCCTGTACTGAAGCATACCCAGATGAAGCAGTCTCACTGCGATTATCTTCTTCCTGAGGCGAGGCACTAGTAGATGTTTCATTGGATACAGGAGCTTGTAAAGACACTGATCCATCTTCAACATCCACCTTTGGAAAGCAATTGAACAAATCAAAACACTCAAAGAACATACTTTTTCTTGAAATATTGTTACCAAGTTTCTCCATGGGTTCCATTTCAGTCTTTTAAACCTATAATACCTTTTAAAATATGGTAAAATGTACATAACAAAGCATACGCCATTTTAATAATTTCTACAATTACAATTCAGCTAACACTATACTTTGATGAGCACAAAAGGCTCTTGTTGGCCCCAGATAGTGAAGGGCCCATGGGGTGAAAAATGCTACAGGCCGATGACACTCACATCTGACATATTCATTTGGGTGATCCCAGAATTTACTAATATAATCCTGGTGCAGGATGGTTGTGGTGATGGTTGTGTGCTTTGGAGTCAGTTCTGTCTCAGCGATCCTGTATAGGATTTCTAGGGCTATAAATTTTTATGGGAGCAGACTACCTTATCTCTTTCCATCGGAGTGACTGATACATTTGAACTGCTGACCTTGAGGTTAGTGACCCAGCAAGATGTTGTTGTTGTTGAGTCCAGAGAGAGTCGATTCTGACTCATAGTGACCCTGTATAAGGTTTATGAGGAGGGACTGGTGATTTTGAACCACTGACCTTTGTGGTTCAACCCAACCTTGCGGCCAAATTGCTTATCCTACAGCACCACAGATAGGCACTCAAAAAACAAGCTAGATGTGGGGCTAAGTCTGATGACATTCAATAGACTCCTGTTAACCTGGATTGAGACCTGGTTGGCCACCAGTATAGCGAGACCTGGGGATTCCTGCGCTCAGGTACAAGGACATAGCCACAGAGGACCAGAGTGGAGAGTGAGCGTCCAGCTGATATGAAGCGAGGGGAGATGCACAAGAACACCCATATTTACAGATAATACCCACTTGACCTAGCTTCAATGGCTAGATGATCAGAATTCGACTAGAGGAAGAAAGAAGAGAAAAAAAGTGTAATTCACTACAGTTTGCTGAACTTGACCTATACTTATGGATGTAGTAGCTTAAAAGAGGGAACAAATCTTTATAGGAATGATCATTCCCACCTCCTCTGTACAGAGAATTGACAGGGATGGGAAACTTAGACATTGGCTACTAAAAATGAGGGGGCTACAAAGGCATAAAGTGACTGGATTACAAGCTTTCAAGAGGGAGTTTAGTTTCAGAGGGTGTGGGGGAAGGTAGAATCTCCACTGAGTGGTTTCCAACCTGTCTAGGTGGGGCTGGTGAAAGGAGATGGGGCTAAGACTCTTGTGGTTCAATAGTGAATAACTGGTATCAGGACTGATTGCAATTGTTGCCAATGTAAAGGTAGACGTTTTGTAACAAAAAAAGGGGAGTGGTTGATCTTGCAGTCCAGGAGCAGAGGACCCTGGGTCCATCAAGAGAGAAGAGTGGAATGTGGGACCCTATCCAGAGATGCAGTGATGCCAGAGATGGAGGCAGAGACGATGACATGGAGAGATGGAGGCAGAGACAATGATGTGGAGAGATGGAGGCAGAGACGATGATGTGGAGAGATGGAGTGAGTGGCTGGGGACCTTAGACTCAAGGAGAAAGAGGGGCTGTGTGCTTGCAGCCGAGGGACAGGCTTGCAGGGTTGTTTGAGTGGTTATATATTCCTGAGTGCTTCAGTGTACACACACACACACACACACACACACACACACACACACACACCAAACCAAACCAAACAAACAAAAAAACAACCAGAGGGAATGGAAGCAAATGCTGTTGAATGATGATGCATGGAGGGGATTGTAGTCATTGCAATGAAGCGAAATACAATAGGATGAATGTAAAACTGATGTTCTCCCATGTAAACTATTGCTCAATTCACAATAAAAACTTAAAATAAAATTTTAAAAAAAGCTAGGAAAAACAAAAACAAAAAAACCCTCATGTTCTCCCCTAGGGAAATTGAGAATTCTTGTCATCTATAAAGTCAGTTTGAATCACAAAGTCGGTGGTTAAAGCTCACCAGCTGCTCCTTGACAACCCTATACAGGGTTGCTATGGGTCGGAACTGACTTGATGGCACTTAACAACAACATATATTGAAAATACCATGGACTGCCAGAAGAACAAACAAATCTGTGTTGGAAGAAGTACAGCCAGAAAGCCAGGATTGTGAGATTTCATCTCTCATACTTTGGACATGTCATCAGGAGGGACCAGTCCCTGGAGAAGGATGGTTGGTAAAGTGAATGGTCATCGAAAAAGAGGAAAACCCCCAACAACATGGCTTGATATGGTGGCAGCAGTTATGTACTCCAGTGTAGTAACAATTGTGAGGATGGCACAGGACTGGGTAGTGTTTTGTTCTGTTGTACATAGGGTCACTATGAATCAGAATCAACTCAATGGTACTTGAAACATCAACAACAAATATATGTCCTAAAGTAGAAAATTTTGTTGAACTCAACTTATGTTGTATGTATTATGAAATAGTTAGGATTTATGGTCATTTATCATATGTAAAATTACAATTCAGAATTTAATATGCCTTTTCAAAGTATTCATACTCATTTAACTATAAGGTTTGTCACTTTGCAACAATAATAAAAATTAAAAAGTAGAAAGGGGTCAGAAGTCAAGTTTGTAGTTTACATGGCCATCATTACAAATGCTGACCAAATAATAAGTACACTTAGGGAGATGAGAGAAGGTCATCCAAGATGGAAACTCACTGTGTCGATGACATACAGATTTATAAACTCTAAGTCTGGCATGCTACATAGCTAAAAAATCAGGATGTTATTTTCCTGGTGGCATAGGCACACAAATAACACAAAGTTTAAGTTCCATTATATAAACAGTATGGCAATGTTTACCTCAATTCCCAAAGCTTTGAGTATGTCACATTTGCACATGGGGCAAGTCCTGTGTTCTAACAGCCATGGGTCAACACATGTCTTATGGAAAATATGACTGATTAAGGAAAAAAAAAAAACACATAATTTAGTTATCAATTGTAAAAAAGCAACAACATTTTGCCTAATATACTAATAGGTTATTAATTTGACTTCATTTTTTAATGTATGCTTTTTATTTTTCATGTTAAATCTATCAAAGCATAGATACTAAGAAGAAGCCACAGAAGAAAATTTTAGGGATTTCTTAATAAATTATAAAAGCTCACTACTCTAGTTTCAAAACACTATTTTTTGTACTCACTACTTGAAAAATGGTTAAGATGCTACCTGACTTAAGATTTTACTCAGTATTCCAGATTTCAGTTATCTAGTCTATTCCTAACTTTTAATTGGTATAGTTATTGTCATTTTCAATAATAGAATACAATCTAGTCCTGAACACAACACAGTGCTGACATTTTAGGCAATGTGATACATTTCAAGAACACTGCTATTTAAGAACTAAAAGAAAGTATTAAGCACAACCTTCAGGAGAGGAGAAATAATAAAATCTAGAGTGAAGATTTCCAAATAGGTGCTTACAAGTTTATTTTACTTCATTTTTTTCTCTTAATTGTTGTTGTTGTTAAGTGCCGTCGAGTCGGTTCCGACCCATAGCGACCCTGTACAGGGTTTCCGAGGCTGTAAATCTTGATGGGAGTAGAAAGCCTCATCTTTCTCCCGCAGAACAGCTGGTAGTTTAGAACTGCTGATCTTAAGGTTCGTAGCCCGATTCATAACCACTACACTACCAGAACTCCTTAATACTTCCTCAAAAAGTTTATAGAAAAATTGGAAGGAAAAGATAATGGAATTTTTCCATGAAATTTTTGAAGCCCCCTCATATACATTAGTCTAGAACAAAACATACCAGATTATGGAAACTTTATACAAACAATTAGACTCACACCAATTTCAATACTTCTATTTATAAATGAAAATTCAAAAGTAAACACTTTCATTACATCAATTTGGAAACATTCAAAATAGCTTTCCTCCATCACAACCATTTTTGTCGGTCATCTATTCTTACTGATAATATGATAGAAAATTCAATCTTACTTGCAGGTTAAGATTCGCACTAAATCATTTGGTTTATATAGTTCAATACACACAGCACAACTATCTCCATCAGGGCCAATTTCCTGTGAGCAAATAGTAAGAAATACATTAATAGAGCAAGAACAGAATATTCATGTATTTAACTAGGATAAATTTCTCTAGAAGGAGTAGTACCATATTGTTGGGTGGTGGAGGTGGTGGTGTATCATGGAGTCAATTCCAACTCATAGCAACCCTGTATGGGGTTTCCCAGTCTGTAAATCTTTACGGGAGCAGAAAGCTCCCAGGGAGCATCTGGTGGACTTGAACTGCTGAACTTGTGTTTAGCAGACCTATGCATAACTCACTAATATTTGACCCAGTTAAAAGTCCCTAAATGGCTATGTAGCTGTAAACTCTCAGTAAGTCATTTAAAATTATTTAGATTTCAAAAAGATAAAAAAATTAAGAAATTCATTTCTAAGGAAACCATGGCTTCAAGAAAACTTACTCTGGAATTTAGAAAATATTTTGAACTTAATACAAAGTAAAATACTACATGCATTATTTAAAGCCCAGCTAATGCTACGTTTAGAGTGACACCAGCAGTATCAAAGAGATAAAGAAGTCAACAAGATTGACAGATGCCATACTTTGTAGTAATAGTGAGTTTGAACAAAGGTCAGGTAGCAATGCTTTCAAATGACATATACCTTATCTCCTTGTTTCAATGTGCGCAGCAGAAGTCTTCCAATAGCTTTTTTAGCATCTGCCTTTAATTGTCTCTGCAATAATAAAAAAGCAGGTATTAGAAAAAGTATTTTTTAAAATAAATCATATGTAAAGGGGAAGAGAGGATCATTAAATATTTTAAAGGTAAGAGTCAATCCATAAATCAATTTTAAAAATAAAATTATTTAATTAGCCATAATAAATACCCCATTTATTTGATGTAGGAAGGAGTTCTCAGAAAATGGAAACTTTTCACTTAACATATTTCCATAACTTCTTAAATGATACCTTTATACTAATTAGAGTTGGATGCTATGTTTTTTCAAAATAATCTTCCTATTTTCCTTTTCCCTCAGAGGTCATTAAAGTGCAGCTTTGTCTGTTTTTTTTTAAAGCATATCCTATTTGGGAGAAGAGACATAGATTTTGATTTTCAATGGATGGATATATATTCAAAATCCATCTGACAGTTTGTTGTACTGTGGTGCCTTGTGTGTTGCTGTGATCCTGGAAGCTATGCCACTGATATTTTAAATGCCAGCATGCATACCCATGGTGGACAGGTTTCAACAGAGCTTTCAGATGAAGACAGACTAGGAGAAGCAGACCACTTCTGAATGGCTAGTTACAGAAAACCTGATGAATTAGCAGTAGAACATTGTCAGATATACTGCCATAAAGTGAGTCCCTCAAATTGGAAGGTGCTCAAAATATGACTGGGGAGGAGCTCCCTCCTTAAAATAGAGTTGACCATAATAATGTGAATGGAGCAAAGCTTTGGGGACCTTCATTTGCAGATGGGGCACAACTCAAAATGAGGAGAAACCACTGCAAACGTTCATTAAAATCAGAACATGGAATGTGCTAAGTATGAATCTAGGAAATTGGAATTTGTCAAAAATGAAATGGAACACATAACAATTGATACTTTAGGTATTAGTGAGATGAAATGGACTGGTATTGGCCAATCTTAATCCAACAATCATGTGGTTTACGATGGCAGGAATGTCAAATTGAAGAGGAATGGTGTCACATTCATCATTAAAAAGAGCATTTTAAGACCTATCTTGAAGTACAGTGCTGTTTGTGATAGAATAATATTCATACACCTACAATGAAGACCAGAGTCCTGGTGTGGTGCTGTGGGTTAATGTGCTGGACTGCAAAGTCGGTTTGAACTGCAAAGTCGGCAGTTCAGGCTCACCAGCCACTCCTAGGAAACCTTATACAGGGTCACTATGGGTTGGAACCAACTTGATGACACTTAACAACAACAACAATGAAGACCCGTCAATACTACTATTATTCAAATTTAAATACCAACCACTTTACACATGAACCACAAAAGCCAGTGATAATAAAATTGAAGAATTCTACCAATTTATTTGGTCTGAAATTGATTAAACATGCAATGAAGATACATTGATAATTACAGGTGATTGAAATGCAAAAGTTGGAGATATTAAGGATTGGTAGTTGGAAAATGTGGTCTTAGTGACAGAAATGATGCTGGAGATTGCATGACAATTTTGCAAGACCAAAATGTTTTCATTATAAATACCTCACCAGATGGACTATGTTGTTGTTGTTAAGTGCTGCTGAGTCAGTTCTGACCCATAGCAACCCTGTATAGGGTTTCTGAGGAGTGCCTGGTGAGCTTGAACCACCAGCCCTGTGGTTCAAACTGACTTTGCAGTCAACACATTAACTCACAGCACCTCACCGGGACTCCAGATGGAATATACAGGAATCCAATTGACTACATCGGTGAGGAGAGATGGTGTGATGCTCCATATCATCAGTCAAAACAAGGCCAGGGGTTGACTGTGGCACTGACCATCAATTAATCATATGCAAATTCAGGCTAAAGCTGAAGAAAATTAAAATATGATCACAAGAGCCAAAATATAACCTTAAGTACATCCTACCTGAACTAGAGATCCTCTTAAGAACAGATTTAATGCATTGGCTATTAATGACCAAGGATCAAGAAGATCATACAGGAAAAAGGAAAAAGGTCATTAAAATGACAAGAAAGAAGTAAAAGACCAAAATGGATGTCAGAAGAGACTGAGACTTGCTTTCGAGGGTACAGAAGATAAACGGAATGGAAAAAATGAGGAAGTAAAAGAGCTGAACAGAAAATGTCAAAGGGCATCTTGAGAAGACATAGTACAAAGTCAATTATCATAATGAAATATGTGAAGAACTGGAGTTAGAAAAAAAAAGAGAACATGCTCAGCATCTCTCAAGCTGAAAGAATTGAAGAAAAAATTCAAGCCTTGAGTTGTAATATTGAAAGATTCTATGGGCAAAATATTGAATAATATAGAAAGTATCAAAAGAAGATAGAAGAAATGAGCATTGTACCAAAAATAAATGGTTGATGTTCAACCATTTCAAAGAGTAGCATATGATCAAGAATCACCAGTATTGAAGGAAGAATTCCAAGTTAGACTAAAGGTACTGGCAAAAAAAAAGGCTTCAGGAAATGACAGAATATAAATTGAAATCTTTCAACAAACTGATGCAGCACTTGAGATACTCACTCATCTTATGACAAGAAATTTGGAAAGCAGCTACCTGGACAACTGATTGGAAGAGATCTATATTTGTGCCCATTCCAAAGAGAGGTGACCCACAGAATGTGGAAATCTCGAAAAACATCATTTATGTCACATGCAAGTAAAATTTTTGCTGAACAAGTTGCAACAAGTACATTGACATGGCACTGTCAAAATGTCAAGGCAGTCTTAGAATAGGTGTTTTGAATGAGGAATATTATTGCTGACATCAGATGGATCTTGGCTGAAAACAGGGAATACCGGAAATATGTTTACTTTGGTTTTGTTGACTATGCAGAGGCGTTTGACTTGTGGACATGACAAACTATGGACACATTTTCAAAGAATGGGTATATCAGAACACTTAATTGTACTCATGAAAAATCTTTACATAGTCTGAGAGAGAGAGTTGTTTGAACAGAATAAAGGTACACTGAATGGCTTAAAATCAGGAAAGGTTGAGCCAGAGTTGTATCCTTTCACCATACTTTTTCAATCTATACACTGAGCAAATAATTTGAGAAACTGTTTATATGAAGAATAATACTGCATCAGGATTAGAAGAAGACGCTTTAACAGCCTGCAATATACAGATGACACAACTTTGTTTGTTGGATGTGAACAGGACTTGAGATACTTACTGATGAAGATCAAAAACTACAGCCTATAATATGGATTCACCTCAATGTAAAGAAAATGAAAATCCTCACAACTGGACCAATAAATAACATCATGATAAATGGAGAAAGATTGAAGTTGTCAAAGACTTCATTTTGCTTGGATCCATAATCAATGCTCATGATAGTAGTAGTCAAAGAAATCAAATGATGCATTGCATTGGGCAAATCTGTTGCAAAAGCCTTTAAAGAGTTTAAGGTGTGCTTGGCCAAAAACATGGTATATTCAATCACTTCATATGCATGTGAAAGTTGGACAATGAATAAAGAAAACTGTAGAATAATTGAAACACTTGAATTATGGTATTGGCAAATAATATTGAAAGTACATGGGCTGCCAGCAAGAACAAACAAATCTGTCTTGGAAGAAATATAGCCAGAATGCTCCTTAGAAGTGAGGATGGGTAGACTTCATCTCTCATACTTTGGACATATTGTCAGGAGGGATCAGTCCCTGGAGAAGAAAATCATGCTTGATATAGTAGAGGGTCATCAAAAATGATGAAGACCCCAACAAGATGGACTAACATAGTGGCAGCAGCAATGGGCTCAAACGTAACGATCATGAGGATTCCGTAGGACCTGGCAGTACTTTATTCTGTTGTGCTGTGCATAGGGTCACTATGAGTCACAACCAACTCGAGAGTGCTTAACAACAACTTAACAACTCATACATCTAGACGAGTCTGGTTTTGCAAAGGTAAATCCAAGGCTTGTTTAAGGAATGATGACTAAAATATTATACATAATAGAATCAGAAGTTGGGAGTTGGGGGTAGTCAAGGAGGTGAGGAAAAGATGAAACAGAGAGCAGTCAATGAGATATTGAGCTTCTTTGGAATGAACTCGTTGATGGAAAAATCCCAGGTGGTATGAGATAAGTAGATAGGTATGTAGGTAGGTAGATAGCTGCTGTTGAGTCAGCTCAGTCTCATTGTGACCTTATGTACAAAAGAATGAAATGTTGATACTTCTGTGTCATCCTCATGATTTCTGGTGTCTTCAAGATCATTGTTGCAACGATTGCACCACTCCATCTCACTAGAGGTCTCTCTTGCCCTTGCTGACCCTCTACATAAAACCAAATATGATATATATTCTCCAGTGATTAATCCCTCCTGGTAACATGACCAAAGCAAGAGAACTGGATAGTATTAGGTGGCTAATTTTCACAAGTAGTTTGCCAAGCCTTTCTTCCAAGTTTGTTTTCATCTGGAAGCTCTGTTGAAACTTGTCCAACTGCTGAAACCTGATCCTGCTAGCTAGTATTTAAAATACTGGTGGCACAGTTTCCAGTATCACCTTAACACACAAGTCACGATAGTACAAAAAACGGACAGACAGTTGGTGATAGAAGATGTAATTGTTGTGAGTCATAAATTTGATTCCAACTCATAGTGATCCTATATGACAGAGTAGAACTGCCCAGCAGGGTTTCCTAGGTAGAAATCTTATGGCAGCAGATTATGGGTTTAATCCACTGAGCTGGGAGGGCTGCTAGAGCAGATTTGTTCAGATGACCGAAAAGGTCTGATCTCTTCTTCTCTCCCCTCCCTCCCCCACGCTCTCCTGGTGACCAGAAGTGTGGTCATCTCCCACCCTCATCTACCCTCAGCACAGACCCTGCTCTCTGGGAGTTTGGAGTCTCATGGCTGGGAGCCACGCAAGCATGAGGTGGGGTTGGCTACACTGCTTTGGTGCCTGAATTCAGGTGGCTTGGTTTCAGAGCCACCAGACCAGCATTTAACTAGTCACACTAACCCCAGATTCCCTGTGGTCCTATCAGACACTGAAACTATCCCTATCAAAGGCC